AGGGAAAAGATGAAGACTCAGAGTTGTACTATTTCTCTTTATCTGTTTTTAAATGTTTAAGCTTATTTTGATGTCCTATAACTCATGTTTAGAAGTGCTACCAGGCTGTAATGGAGGACTTGGGGATCTGCTAAATAGTCACAGGTTTCTGTTAACCAGTGGCCTTTGACAAATCATCTGAATTCTTTCACCTAGTATACTGAATGGATCAAATAGTGTGCATTGAATGTCCCACGGCAAGTACCCTGGCAGAGTGTAAGTTATACCCCGTCCTCCTCCCAACAAAGAGTAGAGCAGTCTACCTTAGCACTTGCTTTACCTGTGGCATCATGCTTTAACACACAAGCTCATTGCTTTCTACCCTGTACTATTTCCATGTTTATTTTAATAAAGAAATAACATCTTAAATTATCTATCTTCAAGAAACATGGCTAAGTATTCATCCGACATTCATCTTCTGATGAACTGTATTTTCATGTATTTTGTATGGTCACCTGAGAGGTGGCAGCAGAGAATGGCCACTGCGAGCTCTGGAGAGAGGAGAAAATCTTCTTATACCAACCTCACATTTTGTTGTTCTGCAAAGCAGAGGAACTATTGGACTATTGATTAGGACAAACAAGTTAGGAACAAACACAAGGATTTCGGTTCCCAAATGATAGCACCCTAGTTTTAATATGGCTTGGAATATTGCTCTAAGAAGCATAATGAGTAGTTTGAATTCATATGGCATTTTACATATTTTATGCATAATATATATAATCCTCATAACAACTAGGGAACATATTCATAGTCCATTTTACAAAGGAGAAACTCAGGGTCTGAATAGTTGGACAAGATTTTGCTTCTTGTTGCTGAAGGCTTGGATTCAACAACGGAGCGGACTGACCCTAGCGACCCAGGACAGGTCTCCATTTATCATAAAAGATGCATCAGTTCATTTGACACCTGTGAACTCAGCTATAGGGACTAGACAGGCTGACTAGAAGCACCTTTATTCTGGAGTCTGGCACCTCCTAATGATTGTCTATCTTGATGTTGATCTCTCTCCTGGTCTCTAAATTGTATAGAAATGATAGCCCAGTTTCGTCCTTTTCCAAATTAGGAAATCTTTCTGTGTGAGCATTTGAGACATCAATCTGAAGGGCAAACTCTCTCTACGGTTAATTAGAAAGAGTATCTTTAAGGTAGTGCGTCTCAGCTGGGGACAGTTTTACCCTCCCTGCTTACCATGGGTATATGTGTCAATGTCTGGAGACATTTTTGGTTGTCAAAAATAGGGAGAGGAGTGTCACTGACATCGAGTAGGATGCTGGCGAGCATTCTACAATACTAAGTATCACCTCCCGCCCCAAACAGAATTGTCTGGCCCAAAATGTCCATAATGTTGAGGTCAGAAGCATTATGGGAACAACCAAGCTGAGGGCTGTTGAACAACCAAGCAAAGGTTAGCCGTTGTCATGTGACCACCTCAGCATTTTTTTTTTTTGGGATAATGGATTTTTTGTTTGTTTGTTTGTTTTTCCTTAACAGGTCCTTCATTTTGAAAATGTCAAAGATGTGCCCTTTGGATTTCAAACGGTAACATCAGATGTAAACAAACTTAGCTCCTTTTACTCATTGAAATTAGTCAAGCGGCTCTACGTAGACAAATCTCTGAACCCTTCCATGGTAAGTTGTCTAAAGCAATTAGCAAAATCTAACTTTTTACAAGGCGTGACACTTCGTACTGTTAGACTTACAACATTTTTATGGAAACTCATTTCTAGGATGTTCATTTATGATTTGAGGCTCCTTAAGTAAAATCAGCCCTGGGGAGAGGTTGAATATAGTGAGAATCAACTGCAGTCACATCTATCTCGTTGTGAACTTCCTTTTTCTCTCTCAAACACTCATAAATCCTATTCTTTATCTTAGTTTCTTTGTCAGGAGAAAAGAGAATGGAGTAATTAACTCTAATAAGTGTATCTCCATAGACAGGGAGCACAAGACAGTTCCATGATTTAGACCTTTTTTCTCCTCTAACAGTAGAGCAGGGGTATCCCTGTTGTACTGTGGTTTAGTCCTGTGTGTAGGGACCTGGATCCTACCTAGCTGACCGCGGTTTGAATTCCAGTCCTGGTTTGAAAAACATGTTGGGTGTGTGTGCATGCATGCCCTAATTCTGATGGGACAGGGAAATGGAAGACAGATGATTGTGTGTGGCCATCCCACATTGGGAGTTGCTCTCTCTCTCTCTCTCTCTCTCACTCTCATTCTGGTGAGTGTATATGCCCTCTGGCAATAAAAACCGAACAAATAAACAAAAATCAGTAGGACATATGGACTGGGGCAATGCTTTAAGCTCCCCATCTTATTTATGAGCACAATACTCTTCTGATGATTCTCTGAGTCAGTAAGAAAAATAATAATTATGAATGAATAGTTTTCATCAGTCACAAATTGGTCTTGTTTCTTTGTTTTACTAGGCTGGTCAGGTGGGTATCCATACAAGGCAGCTTTGGTTATTTTAGTTCAGTCAGGTTTTGAAGAAATTATATAAGAAATGTGTTATATTCTTATTTTTCTCTTCAGAGCATATCACGATATTTAAAAAATCTGTATTTGAAACACAGTTGACATTCTAGACTACATGGGGGCTCCCTCTCTACTTTAGAAATCTTGAGTTGATTCAGTTCCTGTCTGTATGGCCAGAATATCAAGCTTTCTGAATCTAAAAGCTAAACTACCTGCTTGATATTTTCCTGTGGTTTTACAACTTTCTGTAGTAGGTATTTGTTTTTCTGGTTGAGATCTATTCAGAACATGGGTCACTAGGTATTGTATTATGAGTTAATTCTTGTTGCTTGAAGGCACATGCCACTAATTGTACAATCTGAGGAAAGTCCTGAGATCAACCCGTAGATTGGTTGGCCAACTGGACAGTTATTTTTGTTACAATAATCACCTGGGGCATTAAACAAACAAAAAAAATAGATATGAGTTGGGACTTGGACATGGAAAAAATTTAAAATCTGTTTAGGGGATCATTAAGAAGATGCTTAGTATATTTTTGTTGTTGGTAGTGACAGTGAATTCCTTTAATCTCATTGAGGCTTTCTAATGCTCACAAGTGACTTTTGCTCAGTCAATAGCAACAGTCAGCTCCAAGACTGGGTTGCAAATAACTGAAGCCAAATTAATTAGCAAAGGCTGTAGATGCTCTGAAGCAATTCAAGGAGCCCTGTGCTCAGGAGTGAAGCAACAGGGTGTTTAATTAAGCTATGTTTAATTTGATTGACTTTCCATTCAATATTCTGAATTTTTTCAACTGAACTAGGTGTTGGAAGCATTTTTTAAGACTCTATTGCTCCTCTTGATTGTATACCATCTATAAATTTACTAGTTAATAATGCCAACAAGTGTCATCTGATGAGGGCCACCTGCTTCAGAACTATCTAGGTGTTCATTAAAATGGCAAATTCTTGGTCACAGATTGCTTGAATCAAGATCAGTGGAAATATGATGTAAGGTTTTACATTTTTCTTTTATAGGTTTTTGACATTGGATGCCTGAGCTCACTGGAGAGAGACAGAGAAAGAGAGACAGTGAGAGGAACAATGAAAGGGAAAGCAAGAAGGAAAGGGAGAAATCACCCCTCAGAGGGATGGCCATGCTGAAATCCTTTCTCATCCATTCTCCTCCTGGGATTTTGGGCATGCATACACACGCACCTGGTGTGATTTCCAAGTCACTAGGTCCTGGACTTGATCTGTGGTTAGCTATGTGGGAGTCCAGCATCATAACCACCACACCACCTGCTGGGCCCTAAAGTTTTCCTTTTTTTTTGTAGAGGTTTTTACTACAGGGCATGTGCGCTCGCCAGACAGACAGCGAGAGACAGAGAGACAGAAAGCAAGAAATCACACTCTGGAGGGATGGCCACACCTCAATCCCTTCTCCTCCATCTTCCTCTCGGGATCTTGGGCACGCACGCACACGCGCCTGCTGTGAGTTTAAGCCACCAGGTCCGGGACGCAAACCGTGGTCGACTACATAGGAGTCCAGTGACATAGCCATTACGCTAACTGCTGGTCCCAAGTTTTACATTTTTAATAAGCATTCGAGTTAGAACCACGGCTATGCTTTTTATCATGCTGTGCTTCAAACTTTAATGCACCCATTAAAGACCTGAGAAAGCTGTTAAAATGCGTATTCTGATTCAGTAGGTCTGGGGTAGAGCCTGAGATTCTTCAGTTCTAACAAGCTCCCAGGTGATGCTGTGGCCCCCAATACTTAGAGCATACTTTAGGTAGCAAAGGTCCACAGAGTACTTATTTACTCTATACATTTTCTCTACTTTAAAATACACACAGAGATAACATTTTAATGTTTCTGAAATGGAAATCTATATTATAATTGTGTACATTTAACATAGCATTTCTTTTATCCCCCCAAAGCTACTACTAAATGAATAGATGCATTTAATAATTGATGTTGTCTTATAATTAAAAAGAAACATGTAATACAAAGGAAATTCACTGATTTCTGCATGAAGTTTCAATTCACATAGCGTAAGCAATTTTTAAAGTGCTCTATGGTATTAGGTACTTAAGAATACTTTGTTGGAGTCAGCAGATGGTGTAGCATTTACATTGTTGGACTTCTATGTGGCCAACTGGTTTGAGTCTTGGACTTCATGACTGGAAACTCACTGGGTGTGTGTGCGTGTGTGCCCAAGATCCCAGGAATGGAGGAGAAGGGATTGTGGCATGGCCATCTCCCTTAGGGGGTGATTTCTCATTTCACTCTCACTGTCTATGTCTCTGTCTCTGTCTCATCCCTGTGTTTGTTTCCTAATGCAAAAACTTCTAAAAAAATAAAGAATCCTTTTGTTCTGTTAGAACAATTGAATTCTTTTGTTAAAACTTCAGTGTAACCATGCAGTAGTTGGACTACAGCTTTTAAATACCTTGTGATTTAATAAACTGGTTTTTCAGGAATTCATCAGCTCTACAAAGAGACCCTATGCAAAAGAAATGGAAACTGTTGACTTCAAAGATAAATTGGAAGAAACGAAAAGCCAGATCAACAATTCCATTAAAGACCTCACAGATGGCAAGTACCTTGTACAGATTCTGCTACAAATCCCTGAGTTAGCTGCTGCCCTCCCCTCTTCTCATGAATCCTTATTAAACATCTGGAAACTTTTGTCTTGGCTGTTTTTAGTACACAGGCTAATTTCTTACCTGCCGAGCCATGCCAGCAACTTGGATTTCTGGGCACTTGTTGCATCATCTCATCACTTGTCAGAAGTGTTTGGTGCAACTGTTGGGTCTGCATTGCTGTACTCTCTGATGACCTGCCCCAACCTTTGGAGCTCCAGCTATGCCTCTAGCAAAGTATGGTTTTGGCAAATCATGAGGACAGTTATTCAATCTGGAAATGGAGGAATTGAATCTTTAGGCCACTTCCAGTTTAAAAATTCTATAAATTTATAAAGGAAAAAAGGTCTTACATATACTTACAGAAAATATACGTACAGAAAAAATATACATATAGAAAATACACATACAGAAAAAATGAGCCATAATGGAAGCTGGTCCTCTATGACAACACCATGCCAGTCCACCCTCTGATAGTCTGAGGGTCCTGTGGTGGAACTTAGGGGTCCTGCCTTCTGCTCAGTGCTTCCCCAGGCCTCTCCCTTCCAGGACTCCTCCTCTCTTAGTGAAATGCCCTGTGAGCCACCTTCCTTGCTAGAAAGAAATTTGAGCCATTATGATTTTGAGTTCAAATCAGTGACTATATACTATGATTATGTACTGGGAGAGACCACCTGGGAGGCATTCCCAGGAATGGAGGAGAAGGGATTGTGGCATGGCCATCTCCCTTAGGGGGTGATTTCTCATTTCACTCTCACTGTCTATGTCTCTGTCTCTGTCTCATCCCTGTGTTTGTTTCCTAATGCAAAAACTTCTAAAAAAATAAAGAATCCTTTTGTTCTGTTAGAACAATTGAATTCTTTTGTTAAAACTTCAGTGTAACCATGCAGTAGTTGGACTACAGCTTTTAAATACCTTGTGATTTAATAAACTGGTTTTTCAGGAATTCATCAGCTCTACAAAGAGACCCTATGCAAAAGAAATGGAAACTGTTGACTTCAAAGATAAATTGGAAGAAACGAAAAGCCAGATCAACAATTCCATTAAAGACCTCACAGATGGCAAGTACCTTGTACAGATTCTGCTACAAATCCCTGAGTTAGCTGCTGCCCTCCCCTCTTCTCATGAATCCTTATTAAACATCTGGAAACTTTTGTCTTGGCTGTTTTTAGTACACAGGCTAATTTCTTACCTGCCGAGCCATGCCAGCAACTTGGATTTCTGGGCACTTGTTGCATCATCTCATCACTTGTCAGAAGTGTTTGGTGCAACTGTTGGGTCTGCATTGCTGTACTCTCTGATGACCTGCCCCAACCTTTGGAGCTCCAGCTATGCCTCTAGCAAAGTATGGTTTTGGCAAATCATGAGGACAGTTATTCAATCTGGAAATGGAGGAATTGAATCTTTAGGCCACTTCCAGTTTAAAAATTCTATAAATTTATAAAGGAAAAAAGGTCTTACATATACTTACAGAAAATATACGTACAGAAAAAATATACATATAGAAAATACACATACAGAAAAAATGAGCCATAATGGAAGCTGGTCCTCTATGACAACACCATGCCAGTCCACCCTCTGATAGTCTGAGGGTCCTGTGGTGGAACTTAGGGGTCCTGCCTTCTGCTCAGTGCTTCCCCAGGCCTCTCCCTTCCAGGACTCCTCCTCTCTTAGTGAAATGCCCTGTGAGCCACCTTCCTTGCTAGAAAGAAATTTGAGCCATTATGATTTTGAGTTCAAATCAGTGACTATATACTATGATTATGTACTGGGAGAGACCACCTGGGAGGCATGAAAGAGCGGAGTGTAAGATAGTCACTGCTGTCTAGGGAGGGATGCACTTCTGGGACTGGGAAGACACTTGAGAATGACCAGACTCCAGAGTGGCCTTCCTTTTCTGTGGGCTCATGAATGCATGATTGATCCCCAGGGCAACGACTGCAGGACAAGGACACAGGAAGAACAAGAACTTTGGAGTCCTACAGGACCTACATTCAAATCCAGTCATGACTACTTAGGAACTCTAATACTGGGACTTGGAACCTCAGTTTACTGCATTATAAAATGGGGGATATCTTACCTAATTTTATTTTTATGTGGTTGCTGTGAGCATCAAGCTATATAATATATACTAAGAAATGGTAGCTGTAGGTACATAAAACTTTGGTATCAGTAATACCAGTTAAGCAAAAATTTAAAAATGAAGCAAAAGTAGCTCTTGTTTAAATTACTGTGTAATAATTTTACTTTTAGAATTGCCACCCTCGCTTGTTTGTCGTCTTGGACAGATGACTTACCCTCTCCAAGTCTCATCTTCCTCATCTATAAAGTAGGGAGGAATATATGATACCATGTATACAAAATACCTAGCATATTGCCTGAGACAGAGGAAGCATTAAAAATAGTAACTTGTACTTTTCTTCTTACTTTTCTTCCTTTCTTTTCCCTTTGCCCCTAGGTCTATTCTTCTTTCTTGATCTTTTTAGTAAGTCTGATTGGGATAAAGTCCTTCTAAAATTACAGGGTCTGGGGTAGCAGGCTTTATATGGTGTGATGCTAGCAAGTGGGAAGTACTCAGTGAAGAAACAAGCATGTGAATATCAATATAGTTTGGAGAATAACTGTGTAATGTGTGGCTTTCTAAAATTGTTCACAGGCCGCTTTGAGAATATTTTAGCTGACAACAGTGTAAGTGACCAGACCAAAATCCTTGTGGTTAATGCTGCCTACTTCGTTGGAAAGTGGATGAAGAAATTCCCTGAATCAGAAACCAAAGAATGCCCTTTCAGAGTCAACAAGGTATGTGAGGCAGCATCTGAAGGATCCCAGACCTGATAAACAGAGCAAGAAAGAGGAGAGGAGTTGGAGTTCATTCTGGTGAGGAATATGAGGGCCCAGAAAGTCACGTGCCTTTCCTGGGATGAAGAGCTGGGATGTTCAGAGACCACTCCCCACCCCTGACTCTTTTCCAGAGTGTCTTTGATGTCTGTGCTGAGTAAGACTTTAAGGAACTTATAATTAAGTGGGTAAAACTAAATTATCAACTGGAAAATAGCTACAAATATTTGAGGCCTTTAATGGGAAACAAACCAAACACTATAATTGAAGGCCTTCGGAATATCATGAAACCTTGACCACTTAAGAACCTCATTCCTGATTGATGAGGTGCTCTATCGTCTTATCTTCTTGCCGGTCGATGGTGAAATACATGGTTCTGGTATTTAACTAATTAAATAGTTTAAGAAATTTGTCAGAGGGTACATACACTCACTAGAGAGAGAGAGAGAGAGACAGAGACAGAGACAGAGACAGAAAGAGGAAAGGGAAAAGTCACCTCCAAATGGATTGTGTTCATGCTGTAGTCGGTTTGCCGTTTTTCCATCCTGGCAGATTTTAGGCACACATATACACACATCCGTGTGTTTTTCAATCTGCTGGAACTAGATCTGAACTTTATTGTCAACCTTGTGGATCTAACTGTCCCAACCACCAGGCTACTGGTATATATATATATATATTTTTTTTTTTTTTTTTTTAAGAAAGATTTTTGCTATAGGGCACATTCATTTGCCGGCGAGACAGAGAGAGACTAAAAGACAGAAAGCGAGAAATAACCCCTGAGGGGAGATGGCCACACCACAATCCCTTCTTGTCCATTCTCCTCTTGGGATTTTGGACATACATGCACACATGCCCAGCATGAGTTTTAAGCCACTAGGTCAGGGACTCAAGCCATGGTTCACTACATGGGAGTCCAGCAATGTAACCATTATGCCGTCTGCTGGACCCAGGCCACTGTTTTAATTTATAATTTATAAGATGCTTTGAGGTACTTGTTGGTTGTGAAGGAAAGGTACAGCTCACTCCCTGCATCTCTGGGACTCATTGTTGGGACCCCCTAGCAGCCGATTTGTCAGGGCAGTCTCATCCATACTACCTACCAAAGTGAAGGTCAGAAATAGTAGAAATAGGTAAAGTATCTCATCTGTAGATGAAACTAGAGAACTGGGACTGGAAGTGAACCTATTTCATGAGAGGACCTAGGAAAATCCGGAGTCTACATGATGGTGTGATTTGGTCTCACTTGGCAGGATCTGACCTGTGTAAGAACTCAGATGTGGGGCAGATGGTGGCACAGTAGAAACACGGCACTGCAATGTGGGAGCCACATGAGAAGCTCCCAGGTCTGCATCCTGAGGTCTCCTGCACACACTGGATCCCCCTGGGATGTCCGTGATCCAGGCTGGCTGAGGCAGGGGGTGAACTGTGAAATGAAAACTCTGTTAGGGGTGCCTCTGTATATCTGTCTCTCATCAAAGAGATAAATAAACAAAACCAAGGAACTCAGACTTAAATCCATACTTCAGTTAGCACAATATGTGAAGGCTACTTACTGTGCAGCTCCCAAGCATAAATACACGTTTTCAAGTTTCTCCCAGTGCTGGAGCACCTACCATCAATTGCTTTAGTTTTTGCCCAATATACTAGCACCTTCTTGATGTTAGAACACAGGAGAGGAAGCCCTTCAATAAACAATCTACCTGGTTAGTAGGACTGCTGTCCATTTCTCTTCCTTAGTTCCCATAGAATTTTTATTCATTCTCTCCCATCCCCATGAAACCCTGAGTGCTTTCTGCAGTCAAGTCTTTATTTACCTAGATCCCTAGTAGCGCATGAACATTTTAAGAGCAAGTACACTACTTTATTTATTTCAGTGTCTGCAATTCCTGGCTACATCCCTGACATACAGTCAGTGCTTAGCAAATTTACTGAATGAATGATTAATCCATAAACATCAATTTGATTAAAAAAATAAATAAGAGACAAAGCCTGATTGGCCTTTGGGACCTCCATGGGTCCCTCTGTAAGTTCTGTTGGGCATGAGGACAGTAATCTCTGTTGTTCTCCACCTACTTTAAACTTCTATGGGTGCAGGAGGAGCTGAAGATCTGCCTCCACTTCCTTTTCTGAGCTGAGATTCCTGTCAGCAATGGTCTTTTCTACACCTACTGCAAGGACAGGCCTGACTCTGCACACAAGGGGTATGTCTGAGACACTAGGGGCATACAATGAATTCTTCAGACTTCTTGCTTTTCATATCCAGGTGCTTGAGTTTTATAATTTTCTTTCTTTCTTCTCTTTCTTTCTTTCTTCTTTCTTTCTTTCTTTCTTTCTTTCTTTCTTTCTTTTTTTCTTTCTCTTTCTTTCTTTCTTTCTTTCTTTCTTTCTTTCTTTCTTTCTTTCTTTCTTTCTTTCTTTCTTTCTTTCTTTTTCTCTTTCTCTCTCTCTCTCTTTCTTTCTCTCTTTCTTTCTTTCATGTGTGTGAGAGAGAGAGAGAAAGAGAGAGAGAGAGAGTCCCTCAATTGCTTATAACTTAGTGGGAGAAACTAAATTATCAACTGGAAAATAGCTACAAGTATTTGAGACCTTTACCAGGAAAGAAATAAAATAAACCAAACCCTACACTTGGAGGCCTTTGAAATATCAAGAAATCTTGACCACTTAGGAACCTTGTTCCTGATCGATTAACTGCTATCGTCCATCTCTTTCTCATTCCACAGTTGCCTTCCTCAGCCTTACCAGCCTGACAGCATTGTAGCTACACGTGCACAGCATGTTCGGGTGGACTGGGGAACTGAACCTGTGATCTTTCATATGGATCTAATATCACTTGAGTGGTATGTTACTGCTGTACCACCAAGCCAATCCCAGGTTCTTGAGTTTTAAGCATGACTTTGAGGCTTTCTTGGCACTGTCTTTCATTAGGAGCTGAGGTGGAATGTGGCTTTATATAGCCTCTACTGTGAGTCAGGGAGGAGTGTGGGCCCAAGTGTTCTGACTGTCTTTTCTGCCGTGGAGTGGTCCCCTTTGGCTCATTTGTCAGTGATTAATTATCTTCCCAGGGAAGGGCTGGGAAAGGATCCCTAAGTCTGTTTAGGTGGAATCTGAAGCACGTTTCTAATGGTGCTTGTCATTAAGGCCCTAGGGCCAGTTCAGAACACCCTGAAAGCTTCGCAATAAACAGTGAGTAGAACATGGACCGTAAACAGTGAGTAGACCTTTTAAATCAGCCACACTACAGTTTGTATGTTTTAAATTTAAGAAAGTATTAATAGGTGCCTTTTAAGGAGGGAGGAAGAGCATGTACTATTCCTTTATTCTTGTTATTAAATTACAAAGCTAAGTTATATCAGATCTTGGAAACTCAATACTCTATGAAGAGGATTAATAAGGGTTGAAATGTCATTGATTTATCAGTGTTTTGCTTAATAAAACAATAAAAAATGCTACTCAGAGCTGTGGAATACACCCTCCTTTTGAATACAGATGCTAATATTTTTCCTTCTTTGAATTGTTTATGTCTGCCATTGAACTTTTTGAGTGACATTATTAACCCTTTCGCATGTCCTGTGGTGTCTCCTATACAGGCCAGTCTAAATTGGTGAGGTTACATTATTAAAAATTTGTAGAGGACTCCTTGTGATAAAGAAATATAGGTGTATATATAGTGCGTTTTCTGAAATGGTCTTTAGTTAGCCCTGTTTTCAGAAACTATGCCTCAATTAGCATTTCAGTAAAATGGAATAATGGTACCCATAATCAGTGCTGATAAGTGTAATTGATAACAGTTTGCAGAGGCAACACCTACATGCCCATTCAGAAATTATCAGCAGTCTGTCAGTCTCTGGGTTTCAGAAACCATGTCAGTAGAATGAGGACATTGATAAATCCAGACTGGCGAATACCAATCTGATGGCGATTTTTAAACACATATATTAAGTCGTCAGGAAAGTCATGATGTGTTTTTCTATGCAAAACTGTGTCATGACTTTCCCAACAATCCAGTATATTCTTTAGAAAAAAACCAATGGAAGAATTAAGAGTTCGTTTCAAAAGTAGCATTTTTTTTAAAAAATAATAAGTTCTGGTTATACAGAGAGCTGAAGTCTTCAATTATTTATTGACTAAACATTTAGTGAGCAACTACTGCATGCCGGGATATGCCAAGATAATAAGACATGCTTTCTGCATAGATTATATTATAGCTGGGGTGGAAGGTAGATACATACATATTTCTAGCAGGTGTCAAGTGTTAAAATAGAGGTATGTAAAAATATAACATAATAAGGCTTAGCTCTGCTTGGGAGACATATGTGTAAGGCTCAACTTACTGCTTCCAGATGCCAGAGAACAGTTTTACCGCAATATTATCCCTGCACGCCTGATATGAAGCTTAAATCGCCCCCTAAAAGGTTTCTTAACCGGCAGATAGCCCATGCTCCCATGTGTGAAGATAATAAACAACACTAACTTACCAGTAGTCTTTTATTCCTTAGTATGGGTTAATTTTCCTTCAGAAAACCAAGCACCATTGTATCAGAGACAGGAGGGCAGATATTAACAGCAGCAGAAGGAAAAAAGGCCAGGGGTAGTGCATGGAGGCAAAGGCCTGACCCATAAGATAATGTCCCCATAATGTCTCCATTGCAGGAGGAGGTAAGGAGTGGGAGAGCACTGGAACTAAGTGGGGTTTTGAGATAATTTTTTTCATATTCTCTCTTTTTAAAATAATGAAATATTTTAAGCATACAGGAAACTATAGAGAATAAGAAATAGAGAATAAGAAAATCAACAACAGTGTACTGACCAACCAATTTTTTAAACAGTATTTTACCTATTTCAGATAGTTCATTTTTTTAAAATAATTATTTTATTTAACTTTCTTCCTTCCTTTCTCTCTCTCTCTTTCTTTCTTCCTTTTAAAATTTGACCAGAGAGGGGCAGAATGAGAAAGAGAGAGAGAGAGAGAAAGTGAGAAAGCAAGCCACCAGGTCTGGGACTTGAAACATGTGGCAGTCTAGCATCCTTAACCACCACTCCACCTGCTGACTCCTTATTTATCTTTTTAAAATTAATCTTCTATATTTCATCCATGAATGAGTGATAGATATATATATATATATATAGAGAGAGAGAGAGAGAGAGAGAGAGAGAGAGAGAGACAGACAGAAAGATAGCTCTCCCAAGAGGGTCTTGACTCTGCAGTCCACTTTCAGCTTCAGTCAGCCCCGAATCACAGACACACATACACTTGGCATATCCAGGGAATTCTTGGGACGTGAACCTGGAACATACTGTGTGGTCCAGCCTCATAGAATGTAGTGTTTTACTGCTGCACACCACCTAGCCCCCATTATTTTAGGTATTTTAAGAAAAAATATACAGTGGCATTGCCTCATGTTTGTCCCTCCTCCTCATACTCCTCTCTTCTCCCCTCCTCCTCAGTGTTAACCATTATGCTGAATTTACTGATTTTCTTATCCCACTGACCAGGACTGAGGAGATGCAGAGAAGTTAAGTGACTTGCATCTATTGTTGTTACCTTTGGGGTTAAAGCCATGCTCTTATCTGCAGTCCAGATTCTCTTCATTGGCTCAGATCAGAGGAGGTGGCAACCTGGGGAGGAGTTGGTGGTTCAAGCCCAAAGCAAAAACAGAGTGCAAAGCAATCATGGTTTTGTCCTGTACATGCTAATTTTTAAACATTAGGTACTTTATTAGGAGAAGCGATATAAAGGGATAGGTGGGTTCATGTTAGAATTTACTTTCAAGTTAGCTCTACCAGGATTGGTTTCAAGTTGTCATAATTATAGGTGTCTATAAAGACTGGCTTAAACTTTGCCTGTATATTCAGTTGTAGTGTTTTATTTTTAATGCTTTACATATGCAAATATAGTATTATATGTAGTTCCTATAACATATAATATGTAGAATTGTAAAGAACTTTACAGTGGATAGCTTTTCAAAAGAAGTCATAAATTCTTCCTAAGACAGTCTCTGATGATTCAAGGGCAGGACAGTTTGAATCCAGGGTATGGGTGATAAACTGCAGCAGGTTACAACTGTAACAAGAGCAAATTTATGTGCATATGTGGATGTTTGTGTATGTATGCGTATAAAATGTGATTATGTGTATGTATGTGTATGAGTGTATATGTGTATATGTTTGTATGTATATATGTGCATCGCATATTTATGTATGTGCATGTGTGTATATATATGCATGTATATAATTGTATGTGTCTGTATACATGAGTATATGTGCATGTATATATTTTTATGAGCACATATATGTGTGTTTATATGTGTGTGTATGTATATTGGTATGTGTAAGTTTATATGAGTACATGTACGTGTATGTCCGTGCATATATGTGTGGGTATATAAATACACATGTGTGTATGTATAGATAATATACATATGTGTGCATATTTATGTTTAAGTAAATTGAAAAGTAAGCCACTTGAGTTTTTCTTCTTTTATAGACTGATACCAAACCAGTGCAAATGATGAACATGGAAGCCACATTCTGTATGGGCAACATTGATGATATCAATTGTAAGATCATAGAGCTTCCTTTTCAAAATAAGCATCTCAGCATGCTCATCCTCCTGCCCAAAGATGTGGAGGATGAATCGACTGGCTTGGAAAAGGTAAGGGGGGCCTGACACAAAGGAGGCCCTGCCATGGCAAAGACATGCATGGGCAGTGCTGTGTGGGGCCAGGACAGGTCGCTGGCTGCCCTGCCTTCATGCCATGGTTCAGTCATCTCTGAGGATTCTGTGATCCTTTCTGAGGTCTTATCTCCTTAATGTGAAACACAGCCAACATTTTGGGGACACTTTTTATGTGCCAGGAATGATGCTTAGTTCCCTTGTTTAATTGTTATAGCAGTCATGTGAGTTAAGAGCTGGTACTATATTCTTGTTCACCAATGAGGGAGTCAAAGCACAGAGGGGTAGGTAACTGGTTCATGGTTGTATGACCTGGCATGCAGACACAGGGTTGGAGCCCAGGAAGTTGGAGCCAGGTCCTTGGCTGCAGGCTGCAGTGCTTCCCACAGCTCCTCTGCAGCCAGGCACCAATCTGCCAAGTACTGCCTGGTCCACTGTCTTGGGAAAAAATGTTTATATATATATATATATATGTGTGTGTGTATATATATATATATATATATATATAAATGTGTATATATATAAATGTGTATATATATAAATGTGTATATACATCTATACATATTCTAAACAGCTCTGAATTATTAAATTTGATGCCATGCCTAGTACACAAACGTGCCCATGCATGTCCGTTATCTATTACGTCTTCTCCATCACTGTATGCGCTGAGCAGTAGTTGCCATCCTCATTCTTTTTGGATGTCTTGTTCTCGTACTTTTTACTCCATTTCATGCCTTGATCTTTCGGCGTTATTTTGTTGTTATCTTACTGACTTAAAAACCCTTATGTAAACACCAACTTTTCTTCCTTTTGAAGCATAGAACTATTAAGTTGTCAGCAAAGTCATGATGTATTTTTGCTTTTCTGTGCAAAATGCATCATGACTTTTCTGAAGACCTAGTAAAACTGTAATCTTTTGAGTCTGAAGGGGATATTTAAGAATACTTACAATATTGGGACCAGCAGTTGGCGTAATGGCTATGTTGCTGGACTCCCACGTAGTCGACCGCAGTTCGAGTCCAGGACCTGGTGGCTTAAACTCACTTTCTTGTCTCTCTCTGGTGAATGCATGTGCTTTATGACAAAAAGCTCTTTAAAAAAAAACAGCTTTGAATTATTAAATCTGATGCCGTGCCTAGTACACAAATAGTCTAGATTTCCTCATAGAGGAATTATATAAATATTTTAAAAAAATAGGCATTATGACTCTTTATAATTTTATATTTATTTTATAACTATATATGCAACATCATAACCCCTGTGTTTGTTTCTATAAAACTACTCTATAACTTACAGCAAAAATGTCACCTGCCCTCAAAAACTTCAATGCAGAGGGAGCAGTATTGTAGGAAAAGAGACCAGAGCGAGTGGCTGGGGGGGCTTATAAGGGAAACCAGTAATATATTAAAATGGCTTTGAAATGGGGTCATAGTAACATCACACTTTGCTTTTAATCAAGCAAGATCTTTTACAATTGGAAGTAAATGCAATGCATTTTCTTTTCTTTTTGTCCTTCAGATTGAAAAACAACTCAACTCAGAGACACTGTTGAAGTGGACCAACCCCAGCACCATGGCTAATGCCAAAGTCAAACTCTCCATTCCAAAGTTCAAGGTGGAAAAGATCATTGACCCCAAGGGTAGTCTGGAAAACCTAGGGCTGAAAAATATCTTTAATGAAAATGCATCTGATTTCTCTGGAATGTCAGAGACCAAGGGAGTGGCCCTGTCAAATGTTATTCACAGAGTGTGCTTAGAAATAACTGAAGATGGTGGGGATTCCATAGAGGTGCCAGGATCACGAATCCTGCAACACAAGGATGAATTAAAGGCTGACCACCCATTTATTTACATCATCAGGCACAACAAAACTCGGAACATCATTTTCTTCGGCAAGTTCTGTTCTCCTTAAGTGGCATAGCCCGAGTTAAATCCCACCTAACTGTTCTGTGGATGCAGATTTCTATCAACTGCATCCAGAGAATCACTTTTGAAATAAAATAAATTGTTAATGTTGCTGGACCAGGAAGCAACCGGTGCTTGTCCTAGTTAGTCTTCACAGTACTAGACCCTTCTTTTTCAATGTTTTCTTTCTTTCTTTCTTTTTTTTTTCTCTCTCATAAAAGACAATGATATATGCTTTTAGTGAAAATTAATCACCTCCTCAGAGGAAAAATATTTATTCATTATTTGTCAAACTTCCCAGGGTTATTGACAGAAATAGTCTTCCTGCAAGGAAGACCTTAGGATCTTAGGGATATAGAATGTTCCAGACATTCTGGCTTTCCTGAAATACTAGATAAAACTGTGATGCAAGAGACTCACAAAATTGCCCTGGCTCAAGTGAAACTAGGACACTGACCACTGTAGGTCCAGAAGTTCTTGCATTAAGCCCTGGGAATTTTCTCCCCCAAATTCTGCATTTGTGGAATTTCAGAGAGATAATACATTGTGCTGACTGTATGCTATGGAACTCTATTGATAGCATCTGGAACAGCAGCCTAAAGATCAACACCTTAGTACTTCTACCATAAAACGTCGAGTATTTACACAAAATGGATAAAGTAGCCTGTGTGATCAAATTCTGCTACCAAATGAGTGCCACCTGCTTATGAAAACACCTTGTTTGTGGAACTTTTTAAGATGTGGAATGTTGGATAAGAAATTTTAGACCAATAGTAGCTAAAGAATAAGACTCTGGAGGAAGCTCAGATCTGAGTAGAACATCACTGTCACTTCTGCTGCATGCCCCACCAGGTCCTTTGGTGGGCAGTAGACCTGGGGCAGGAGCTCTAACTGACTCCCAAGGTTTTGAATGTTCCGTAGCAGGTGCTCCAACAGGGACTCTCTCAATCTCCAATAAAAGAGTTTTCTGACTGTTGAAGGAAGTTATCTCTATGTCTAATGTGACAGTGGGACAGGGAAAGGAACCAAATATGTTTAGAAAATATAAGTAATATTATCAAAGTGCCTTAGCACCTGTGTTTTCTAAGTCCATGGGTTTATTTTAGATAGTCAGTTTGTAACTTAACGTTAATAGTAATTGACCAAGTTGGTTTGTCAAGTTTTCTAAGTTGAGGTTCATGGATCGATTCACTACCAGAAGGATATATTTACTAAGACTCCCTCCCTTATCTCTTTCTTGCCACTCATTGTAAATAGGTTCTTCTTGCTCTAAAGGTTCAATATTGAATTTCTTCTATGCTACTGACAATAAAATATTGAAACACGTGTCTTGCTTTTTTTCCCCATTAAGTTAAACGCACTGTTTTGAAATAGGTCCAAGCCCCCTCTATCTACAAAAGCTCTACTACACCTAACTGCCTTTTATGGGTTGGTATAGGCGAAAAAGGAGTCAGAGTGATTACAACACTTTTCCCCTTATTTCCCTTCTTGGCCAAGAGCACTTGCTTCTTCCTCCTAATCTCTTTCCCCCGAGGGAGGAGAGGACGAGGGTAGTCCTAGAATGACTTTCAACTAGTCAAGAGCGTAAGGGACCAGAGGCTTTGCAGGAGGACACAGACTCTCCTTCAGCCCTTTCCGTTTTAGGCCCACCCTCGAAGTATGTTATTAAATAGTTGTATACCTTTAAAACAGGCATTTTCCGCCTTATTAAGTACATTTTTCTCAATTCCATGATCATTTAAAAACAATAAGATGGTGTCCCTGAAACTAGGATCCCATGTGACCTTTTTATGTCACTGTTACGTGCTCAAACATGCTCAAACTGAACATCTTCTCATTCAATAAATATTGAGTACAGCACTGACACAGGCCCCCCACATCCTAAAGAGGAGAGACCGTTAGGATTGCTAGGAATGGCCTAGACCAAATTTTGCCACTTTTGACTCTTTATCCCCTATTTCCAGAACATGAAATAGAAAACGTGGGATGATCATGAGGAAGGTTAGTATTTAGAAGAAGAGAGAGAGTAGTGCTTCTTTAAGCCAAGTGTTCCAGGAGCTAAAAGTGTCTCCTGAAATCCGGGAAACACAGGACCCTTTGGTGAGCCTGGGCGTCTAATCCAGTGGTTTTTGATCAGGCAATACTGCCCCCTATGGGACATTTTTGTTGTCACAACTGGGGAGAGGGCAGAGGCCAGAGATGCTGCTAAAACTCCTGTCAGACCCTGAGAAGGCCCCTGCTGCAGTTTTCCAGCCCCAGGGCCACGGTGCTTAGTCTGAGAACACTGGTACTCTAACCACAGGCCAGCTGCTGACAGGAGGAGACCTAACTGCAGAGCGAGGAGAAAGGGCTGGAGTAGAAGAGGCAAGTCATCTTCTGTGGTTGGCTCAGGCGCAACGTGGAAGTAGCCAGGCTAGGAAATTTTGAGTCTCTGCTCAGAGGGTCTGCCAAGTGAGCGTGAGAAAGAGTGAACACTTGGCACCTCCCATAACCGATAGATCACAGTGAGTCAGCCAGTGAGGCGTCTGCTCCTTCCCTTGCCTCACAGGGTATGAGGAAGCTCACCTCCACCTCCTTGCTCCTCTGGAGAGAGTGAGCCCAAGACAGACCCTTGCTGTGGGGGAAGTGAAGTTTTACATAAAAAGAAAGTCTGCAGTTCTGATTTAGAAACATTCTAAGCTTTTAAAATTTCTAATCGTATTTTAATTTATTATTATTTTTGACAGAGGGTTCAGGAAGTGGATGGGGGTAGGGATGACAAAGTATCCCCCCTATGGGGATGGTCATGCCACAATCCCTTCTTATCTATCTCCTTCCTTTCAAAATTTTGGACATGCATACTCACGTGCCTGGTGTGTTTCCTAGCCATTGAGTCCAAGTGGTTGGTCATGTGGGATCCAGCTGTCTTAACCACCATGCCATAGGTTGGCCTGAAAGTGTCTTTATTAACATATGAACAAGATGGGAGAAGCTCTAGTCTGGGGCATTTCATGTAGGGAATGGAGAGGAAGATACAACAGATGGGCTTGAAAGGGCACTGGAAAGAAAGAATTGAGTTGCATTTTGATAGTACTTTGCTCAGTCCAGCTCTCCAATAAACCAGCTACAAATATCCTATCTCATTTAATCCCCACAACCAACATTATGAGGAGGAAACCATGATTCCATCTTATAAACGAGGATACCAAGACACAGAAGAGATATATTTCAGCTCAAGGCCACAGAACTAAAGAATGGTGATGGCTGGATTTGAACTCACACAGAGCTAGAGCTCTTAACCTCTGCACTGATGTCGATATCTTCCAAGTGGCACCACCCCTCGAATGTACTGAAAGAATTCTTCTCTTTAATTTCTGGAGGGCATGTGTGCTCACCTGAGAAAAACAGAGACAGAGAGAAGGAGGGAGGAAGTACCTTCCAAAGGAGCATGGTTCATGGTTCCATAAGCCCTTCTCCATTTCTCCATTCCGTCAGGATTTTGGGTGTGCATGCCCACATGCTGCCAGGCCAGGACTCAAACGGTTGTCAGCTGGATGGAATCCAGCTTCCTTAGCCACTAGATTGTGGGCCAGTTTTATCTTAATCGTTAATGAAAATGTGGAAAAAAGACACCAACAGTTTCCTCCTTTCCCTCTTTATCCTCGTGTTCATGAATCAACATATCATAATGCGTGAAATCCATTTTGCTTTCCAGAATGGGCACATTTTAGCATTTTCCAGTTTTTTTTCTGGCTAGTTAGGGTTGGGGTGAACTTCCCATTGCCAACGTGACCACATGTGGCAGCCCCGACTCTTCATTTTACCACCTCTGTCCTTTCTTATCTGCTGCTTCTGATCCTGGCTAGTTAGAAGATTAGGCACTAAGTTTGTAGGAATTGTGTATAAAGCAAAACTTCATTGGCCTAGAAAGTAACAGTAAGCTTTCTAGTGATGTAAAGTGCTTCAATTTTAATACAATGAATTCTTTTTTTCTTTCTTTTTTTTTTTTTTTTTGAGAAAGAGATTTTTGCTATAGGGCATGTACGCTTTCCAGAGATACAGAGACAGAAAGTGAGAAATCACCGCCCTTCTCCCTGGGGGATGGCCACACAGCAATCCCTTCTCTATTCTCTTCTCAGGATTTTGAGAACATACACACACGTGCCAGGCGTGAGTTTTAAGCCATCGGGTCTGGTACTCGATCTGAGACCTACTATGTGGGAATCCAGCCATATAACCATTACACCATCTGCTGGTGCCACAATGAATTTTTTTATTGATGTCATCTTTGGGACTTAGAAACCTGTACACTTTCTTCTGGATTCTCAACTAGATTATGAAAAGATGAGTCTATTTGTAGCCATGTTTTTGGAGAAGTGAACTACTGCTAAAGCATTTTACAAAGATCAAAGTTTAATAACCTCAAACTGCATGTGAATAATTTTCTTTACAAGCTCTATTGTTCTTCTTTTTAAAGTGTTTTTAATTAATAGACCAGTATTGCTTGAGTAATCCTGCTGGAACTGTAATTCTACACTAAGAGAGAGGAGGATTCAAAAGAAGCAGTTTCCTTGGTTTCTCCCTTCAAGACATTTGAAATTTGTTTGTGGAAATGAAGTTACATTAAAGGTGACATTTAGCAACAAATCAGTCCTTGACATTAACTCCATGCTTCTGTCAATCAAAATATTAGAAAATCTCCAGTGGCAAAGTCATATTAAGCCATTTTCAGTTGAGAGGCCGCAATGAATTGGTGTGTTCACATACATTAATGTTAATCCCAAGAACCCTGTGACATATCGTAGTTCTGGAAACCTCACTGCAGTAGTTAGGTGGTTCAGGCTCTTGCACTATGACTGACAGCTCCCCTAGGTCCAATGTCCTTGCATGCCATCAGAATGTCCTCTATATCTTTTTCCTTTTAATTGTCAGTGAGCGTGTGTGCTTGCCAGAGAGAAACAGAGTGAGAGAGTTAGAGACACAGAGAGGGAGAGAAAGCGCTTTCCAGTGGAGTGTGATTACATTGCAATCTCCTCTCCTCCATTTCTCCAACCCATCAGGATTTGGAACACCCACACACATGTGCCTGACATATTTTTCCACCCTTCAGAGCAGGACTTGAACCTGGGTAGGCCATGCAAGATCCAGCTCCATTAACTACCAGGCTATGAGACCACCTTATTTCTCTTTTAAAACTTTTTGAAAGTATAATATACACACATAAAAACACATGTAGGTGTGTAGTTAAGTGAAATTTTACAAACTGAATTCACCCATGTAGCTGGCACCCAAATGTACAGCCTCAGAATCTCCCCATACCCGCTTATATCTTTATCCATGCTGCCAGCTTCAAGATAGCTTCTAACAGGGACCAGCAGTTAGCTTAATGGTTATGTCCCTGGACTCCCACGTAGTTGACCACAGTTCGTGTCCCAGACCCGGTGGCTTAAAACTCACGCCAGGCGCGTGTGCGTGCATGCCCAAGATCCAGAGAGGAGAATGGAGGAGAAGGGAGTGCGGCGTGGCCATCCCCCCTGGGGGGTGATTTCTCGCTTTCTGTCTCTCTCTCTCTCTGTCTTTCTGGCGAGCGCATGTGTCCTATAGCAAAAACCTCTCCAAAAAAAAAAAAAAAAAGATAGCTTCTAACAGCACACACGCATTAACTTCTGTCTGGTTTTATACTTTACATTGATAGAACCCCCTGGAGTGTTCTCTCTTTTGATTGGCAGTGCAAATGGCATTTATAATCTTGCAAGTAGTTCTGGATCATCATTCCTGTTGCCGTACTCTTCCATAAATTGTGACTATATTGTAATTTATTTATTATTCTACTCTTGATGGGCATTTGGGTATTGCCAGCTTTGGGCTGTTCCTACTGGTACTGTAATGAACATTTTATTGATAGCACATGTCTTTTGGTGAAAATGTTTACATTCTTTATGGATATATACATATGTATATAAACTATAACACATATGTATACACACATATATGCACATTCTTAGAAATGGGACTTAACTTTGGTAGGTAATGTCAAGTTTTCCAAAGCAATTCTACTAGGACTTATCTTTACTATTATTAGTCAATAATTAATATTGATTGCTTTTTCTAAATGTGACTGCTATTGAAAACACTTCCATTCTTGGAGTAATAATTATGAACTAAGCACATTGCTAAGCATAATATATATTCGAATCCAGTTTTCACCAGAACCCTATGAGGATCTATTTGAGGTGAAGGGGACTAGGACTCAGAAGCATGTCTTGAAAAAACTCGCTGGGCACAATTGGCTAATGAGTTGTATGGTTAGGATTAAATTCAATTCTCTGCTTTAGAGCCTA